GGTACTGTTGTTGCTGCTGCTTGTGGTACTGTTGTTTCTGTTGCCTCGAGTACTGTTATTGCCTGCGATGATGTTGGTGATTCTTGTGGTACTGTTGGGGGTGATGGTTGTAATGATGGAGGTAGTAATGGTGCTGGTGTTGGGTTTGGTACTGTAGTTGTAGTAGCTGTTGTTGTTGGCGGTTGAGTAGCTGTTGTTGTCGTTGTTGTTGATGGTGATAGTGTTTTTATTGTTGTTGTTGGTAATGATGGTGCAGTTGTTGCAGTAGATGACGCAGTTTCTGCCCTTGATGGTGTTGTTGCTGTTGTTGGTGATGATGGTTTGGTTGTTGTTGTTGGTGATGGTAGTACACCACCAGCTGGCGTCAAGTGAACTTGTGATGGTGGTAGATTGCTGAACGAGTCAAGTCGTAACCTGGTCGTCGATTTGGGAACTTCACAGTCGTTCTGAAACACAGGAAACAAATTATTATTGCTGCTATTATGATAGTTGTTATTAATTCCGGGGAAGCGTTAAACCCATAAAACTCATAAACGCCTGGGTGGAGGCGAAAATAGAGGTTAAACATGTTTGATCCAAGGAAGTGGAGAGTAGCATCTGGAGCACTTCACCAATGACACGAAAATCATCGTGAATTTCAGAATAAACACAGTCATTCCTAAGAGCAAAGTTCACCATTGTTATAAGTTCAAAATCGAATAGAAGAATCATTCTCCAATTATTTCTTGGAATTCAACGACTCCAAGTTTATAAACTGTCAATAATTTAGCAAATTTTTCTCTACCAAACGTGAACTCAAAATGGCTCCCATCTATATAAGATGCAACAGCCAATGAAGGTTCAGCTATTCATGAGAGCCCCTCATGGAAGGTTCCTTGATGTTGGTGAGGGGCTCTTGATTTAGGGAATTGGATCTGTGCTCCAGTTCCCCGAATTAAGCCTGAATGCCTTCCACATCCCCCCTCCCCTGGGCGCTGTATAATCCTACGGGTTTAGCGCTTCCCCCTTGATTATAATAATAATATTCATGAGAGGCTTACTAGTGTAATTTCTAGATGAAAATGCTGAGCCATTTAAAGAAATGTCATGCGCACTCACACTCCAATAACACTCATAACCTTCTTCTAGGTAATATATGCCAGCCTTGAACTCTGAAAGCTGATCAGAAAATTCTTTCTTAGACTATCGCAAGGAAACCAAATCCTGGAATTGCCTGTTTAATATTGACCAGAGGGCACCTGGGTATGCCAATATGTGGTTCATGAACCTTTTCCAAGTTAAATTTCACAGATTTTGAAAATTTGAAGTCGATCGACTGAGGCGTTCTCAAACAAAATCATTTAACCACCTTAAGGGACCTCTTAGGAGATACCTAATTACACTCTCTAGTCAGAATGGCCATATGTAATGCCCACAGGTATAGGTATCGACAATTTAATCAAAATATAATTTATTTTTTTATATATTTTTTTAAAACAATGCAAAACAAGGTGACAGAAATATATTAAAAAGATACACGAAAAATGGTTAATGCACAAGAATCCCAATAACCATAACACATAATAACGACACTATATATTACAATGATATTACTCTCACACACAACACACCATACATTACAGTAGTATTTTTCTTTTTATTTAAAAACACCACTAACAAGGTTATATATAATAAAAACACAACATTACAAGGGTATGAACAAGAGTGTCCAACAAACAACATCAAACACTGGAAATTATAAAGATTGCACAATAAAACATTGTGATAAAAACAGACACACATAATGACGCACATATACAAGCAATCACATACACACAACATGACACTACATTTGGCACATTACTAGGTATGGCTTCCGCCTGTCAACACACACGTATTCAAGACTTAATCTAAGATCTCAGGTGCCCACCAGAGCACCACGATACTCAAACATTAATTTAGGTGACTATCACGGGGTCTTAACATAAACATAGGTATTTACAATTCAAAGAAGGACCAGGGTAACACTACAAGTCACAAAAATAAAAACATCCAACATAACAAATCTACGATGTGATATTTTACATTTCAAATAAACACAAAGAAAAAATAATGCAAGCAGTTACATGTAATATAATATAATATTACTGAAAAGCATACTATAACACGGCATAAAGCATAAACATAAAATAAGAACCGATCACCAAAATATAATTTTATTGGGAATACGTTTGATCATGGTTGAGCTTCATCAATATAACGTGCATGTTTTAGGTTCTTCAAAATAATTGGGTCACCTGTATTATACTTTTTTTTTAAATACTACTACTATTACGAATACTGTCACTATACTCCGAGTGAAAAGTAGTCTGGATAAAAGCTTCGTCTGAATACTGGGTCCTTACACTCATACTCTCCAGCCAGTTACACCACTATGTGCTGTATCTTACACTCACCGTAGCAGCGAAAGAATATTCCATATTGTCGATGTATAAGATGCTAAACGTACACCTCTTTCTCCTGTGTGAGTTGCTTCTGTTATTTTTGATACAGACGTATATTTTATAATTTTTTTAACTTTTCAATATTGGTGTGGTCACCCAGATTTCAGGACCGTAAGTCTTAAGCCAGCAACATGAAATAATGTAAGACCAGATCCACAGTTCACTTTTTCACTGTATCTTGTATTTGGTATTCAAGATTGTGTACACAGAAATGTATTCGTATAAATACACTTGAGAAATATTCGAAGTTTACATTAATCACTTTTACGGAATGAAATTTTCTTGACTGCTGGTGAAGAGGCTACAAGCAGCCTTAATATTTCTGGTACAGTTGATAGGCTTCATTCAACTCAATTAATCAACTAATGATGACATAATGCGAGTTGTGTTCATTCTATTACCTTGCACTTGCAATTTTCACTGCTAAAATTAAAGTCAAACCTTCAGAGTTGCATTTAATAACACACGTTCCATCTTAGAAGATTCTGTTAACAAATATAAGTACCATATTGCCACGACTACCGTCAGTGATAAGACTGAGTGACCAATCAACTTAATGATGTTGTTATCACCTCTCAGCCAATCAGATGCCTCGACACTGCTACATTATAATATTCAAAATTATTGTTAGAGAAGCGCTAAACCAGTAGGGATTCAACAAAGCCTGGAGAATGGGGGTAATGAGTTGTGATCCAAGGAAGGGGAGGGTGACTCCAATTCCGTGCATCAAGAGAGGTTCACAAGCATCAATGTACACACTCTTAAAAAGATAAACTCTCCAGTTATCCTTCTAATACTTCCATATTTTTTTTAGTAAAGATATTCTCCCTCTTTAAATGAAATTGAAACCAATACTTCCAAAAAAAAATAAAATAAAGTTATAATGAATACAAAAATAATTGGCATGTATTGCAGACTTAATGGAAAGCTTCTGGTTATGCAGAGCTTGTCCGTGTTAAGATAAGTAGGTGGTTACAGTGTCCTCGATTCTTATGTTCCTTCTTGGTGGAGACTCTTGACTTAACCATCTACACAATAGTAGCGTGACTCACGAAATCATATTAACACGACAGCAAACGAATCAGGGGGTGGGTGGGTCTTGAACCCACGGTAAGTGACTCACTTGCCATGGGTTCAAATCCCCCTCGTTCCCTGATTTGATAAACATAATAGAAGATTGTCCTCGCTCTACAACATAGATGGTCCTCTACAAATATCCTTGGTATGGGGTGTCCAGTCTTATATCTAGTACGATATATACACCGAGAGGTATACGAGTATATCTCTCAGAGACAGTTTACCTTAATCCCTATTTTCTGGGCTATAGTATACTTGCTGGTAGTGAACAGGTTATATGCAGCCTTAATAACCCTCGCGTAGTCGATAGGTTTTAAAGTCAATTAATAAACCTACCATCTGCTATCTGCCACATGTATGTACGTGGCCCGGTGGCCTGGTGGCTAAAGCTCCCGCTTCACACACGGAGGGCCCGGGTTCGATTCCCGGCGGGTGGAAACATTTCGACACGTTTCCTTACACCTATTGTCCTGTTCACCTAGCAGCAAATAGGTACCTGGGTGTTAGTCGACTGGTGTGGGTCGCATCCTGGGGGACAAGATTAAGGACCCCAATGGAAATAAGTTAGACAGTCCTCGATGACGCACTGACTTTCTTGGGTTATCCTGGGTGGCTAACTCTCCGGGGTTAAAAATCCGAACGAAATCTTATCTTATCTTATGAGATATCGCTACCCGAGGCAAATATTCGAGGGCAGGTTGGCATAGAGAGAGACATTTTGGTGCTGTTTTAATTTCTGGTGATATTTACAATAATATTAGTACAGGAGATTATTTTAACAAATTATGATTTTAAGGGAGAAACGCTTGGGGAATGAAGGGTAATCGGGTTTACTCCAAGGAAGGAAAAGGCAGCTTTAGTTCCTGACACCAAGAACCTTTACCATCCTCAAGGCACTTCACTTGAAGAGTTGTAATTATCAGTACTGATAAATATATATCCATGTACATGACGGGTTGAGAAGAAACGTAGATATATTTACTGAATGGAGCTTATGCTACTAGCTTAATCACCAATGTAGTTTTTACGGCCAATTTGTGGTCTTAACTATATCTGGTGTGTTCTTGATGAGGTTTGATGTGGCCTTGATCAGGTCTGGTGTGGTCTTGGCCAGTGCAAGGTGTAGCCTTGACCAAGTGTGGAGGTCTTGAGGAAGTCTAGTGTGGCCTCGATTTGGTCTGGTGTGGTCTTGATCAGCGCAGTTGTGACCTTGAGCAGGTCTTGTATGGTCTCGGTCAAGGGAGGTGTGGTCTTGACAAGGGCTAATGTGATCAATAAGGTCTAATGTGGTCTTAACAAGGTCTAATGTGATCTTAAAGTTTAGTGCGGTCCTTAGACCAGGTTTGATGTAATCTATAAAACCCAGGATGGTATGGTCCAGACCGGGTGTCGTGTGTCGCAAGGATATCTTATCTTTTCACTAATTCTGTGATCATAGCCTCTGCCAACAGAGCCTTTTATACCGACAGCTGGTGTCCCACAAGGCTCGTGTCTTAGTCCAATACTATTCAACATTTATGTTAATGATCTTCCTCAACCGGAGTTCAATGATACAATTATAACGCAATTTGCAGATGATGTTATCTATGTCGTCTCGTCAACTCCTGTAACAGGGAAATATAAGTATGAGCGGGTCGTAGAAAAAACGAATATTGAACTTCGCCGAACATCTATTTGGGAAAAGAAATGGAGAATTACGACCAACCCTGACAAAGTCCTTGTTAGTACGATAGGATGTTTTGCATCAACCATTGAAGACAAGGGGGAGGGGGGGTTCTCCATCAGAGGTACACCTGTAGCCATTAGAAACCCTAACAAGATCTTGGGATATGAAATAGACAGATTGCTCCACTAAACATCTCACGTCAGTAAAAAGATCAACATAGCCAAAGCCTGTCTTAGCAGTCTCTGTAGGTTTAATCAAGCCCCTTCATACGTCAAAAAAATATGTATAAAATGATGATAAGACCTATACTCGAACACCCATGTGTCTCAATGTCGTTAACAACAAAGACCAACATACTACGGTTACAATGGGTCCAGAATAGAGCTTTCCGCTTTATTACAGGTACCAGGAGGAGAGACAGAATCAGAATGGCAGAATTACACATCCAACAGGATATTGCTGCCTTGAACGTACGCCTTGATATGCTGAAGAGGCAACTCTATGCAATGCAAGAACTCTACATACCAGATAGAGAATATCCTCCCCAAGTTGAAAATACTACCGACTATATCATTAACACTCTTCCCCACAGGACCCAAAGAATGACTCTTCCACAGAGGCTGCGTCGCTTCATTCATACAGACGATTGCCAATGACCAATGATCTTGAGCAACCTCCCTGCAGACGAAGATGATTGGGTAACACCAGAATCCTTCTAAGTCTACTAAGTATATTATCGCCCCTAATTATGGAGATATCTTATATAATTTTTCTACTTTCACATCTACTATTGTAAATTCGCTGTATTTACTATGGCGGGACACCACCTTGAAAGAAGCCAACGTGCCCAGTGATTTTTACATGAATTGTCTATAAAATCATCGCTTTGCCTTGTTGTTGAAATATTCGTTATGCAATCGCAAAAAAAAGCAATTGCAACTTGTATACCTATTGAACATTAAAATGGTATAAAATACCGACAGATTGTTAGGTAAGACACATATGCAACAGTTAGGTATCTTTATTTCGAAACCTAACTGTTGCATATGTGTCTTACCTAACAATCTGTCGGTATTTTATACCATTTTAATGTTCATTCTGTCAGACACTGCAACACAAGGGTATCTTGGTACAGACCATCAACTTCGACAACCTCTACTAGTGAGAACGGCTTGGTTTGAGAGGGACCTGCCCTCCCAAAGCAACCTACGTCTCACCTCCTGGCACTATTTAAGGCTCCATCCTGTCACTTCAACTTCATATTGTTTCAGACAACGGAACAATGCTCTTCTCCAGACTGAGGGACTGACCACCTCAAAACTTTAAGGGTGATGGACTGATTACATCGTCTTCAAGTATCTTCTGCTTCTATCAACTTTTCTGTACTCGACTGAAGAAGCCTACTGTGTAGGCGAAACGTTTCGAAATAAAGATACCTAACTGTTGCATATGTGTCTTACCTAACAATCTGTCGGTATTTTATACCATTTTAATGTTCATTCTGTCAGACACTGCAACACAAGGGTATCTTGGTACAGACCATCAACTTCGACAACCTCTACTAGTGAGAACGGCTTGGTTTGAGAGGGACCTGCCCTCCCAAAGCAACCTACGTCTCACCTCCTGGCACTATTTAAGGCTCCATCCTGTCACTTCAACTTCATATTGTTTCAGACAACGGAACAATGCTCTTCTCCAGACTGAGGGACTGACCACCTCAAAACTTTAAGGTGATGGACTGATTACATCGTCTTCAAGTATCTTCTGCTTCTATCAACTTTTCTGTACTCGACTGAAGAAGCCTACTGTGTAGGCGAAACGTTTCGAAATAAAGATACCTAACTGTTGCATATGTGTCTTACCTAACAATCTGTCGGTATTTTATACCATTTTAATGTTCATTCTGTCAGACACTGCAACACAAGGGTATCTTGGTACAGACCATCAACTTCGACAACCTCTACTAGTGAGAACGGCTTGGTTTGAGAGGGACCTGCCCTCCCAAAGCAACCTACGTCTCACCTCCTGGCACTATTTAAGGCTCCATCCTGTCACTTCAACTTCATATTGTTTCAGACAACGGAACAATGCTCTTCTCCAGACTGAGGGACTGACCACCTCAAAACTTTAAGGGTGATGGACTGATTACATCGTCAAGTATCTTCTGCTTCTATCAACTTTTCTGTACTCGACTGAAGAAGCCTACTGTGTAGGCGAAACGTTTCGAAATAAAGATACTTGTATACCTATTACCGACTCAGAGTCATGTACCTATATATCTGTTATATCTGTGTGACTCTGATGGGTAAGTGTTACACTCCTTTCAATAATTTTCTGTTATTACACACACACTTTTTAAATTGCACCAAAGTGGTTGGGTCACTTCCCTTTTATATCCTACCTCGTTCCCCCTCCCATCCTTTTTCCATATTTCTATCCTTACCCATCCTTCTTCCTTACACGTATTCTTACCAAAGCTCTGGTCGTAAGTTGAAGCCTCTGCCAGATAGTTACCTGATGACTACTCTTACAGGGAGTGGCAAGACACTATGTATTTCTGGAATTTAAACATATAAACGAATTACATGTGTAGAATACAGCAGCATGAAGATTGGTTGTGTTTCTTATTCTTAAAAGAATTTTTAGGCTCTCCATTATGTGGGTTTAAACAAATCAAGAACTATAGTTCTATAGTCACTGATGTTACTGTCGTATTTTCCTTTTTTTTGTCAAACAAATTAACTCTTAGAATTGGGGTGCAAAATGTAGTGTGGTAGGCTACTTAACACATCATCTGCCACACTTGTTTTGTTTCCTGACGACTAAAAAATACCTCCAGCTGGAACTTAACCAGAGAAAATATCAGTGTAATTACCCAGATAGTGCAGCTCCACATAGGCACAACACATAATCGCAAATAACAAATCAGATAAGCATTGATAAAAGCTCAGTGAGCAGCGCAGGACAACATTTTAACCCTAGCAGGTGAGGGGTGTCCAAGTCCTCTGGCGAGTGATTCGTGTTTGTGAGGGGTATTGTGTAGATTGTGAATTGATCGATCTATTATGGGCCAGTAGACCTTCTGTAGTGCTCGACATTTCTTATGTTTTTGAGGTAAAGTGAATTATATTTCAACATGAACATAAACTATTTGCTTGGTGAAAAAAAAAATCACGCTATCCGTGATTTCGTTAGTGATTATTTTTTAGTCAGGACGCACAGATATCTCCTAACATTAACATGTCTCCACCACCATTACCTGACACAGGTAATTTAAATATGAACACGCCTTGTCATATGCTTGAAGGACAGTGAGTAGGAAGGGGGAGTAGTGTTTTGTCCATCGAGAAACAAGTGTCTCTTAACATTGGTCGTAAGCATCAGATGACCCATTCAATGAACAAGGATGCGCTGGCCTACCCCAGCTAGGGTCCATACCATATTATAAAAATAACGGATCACTGCATAACAGTGAAGCTTAGGATGGTGAATCTCTTAAAGAGTATCTTAAATGTGGGAGCTGAGCTGTTATGGTGCGTCTGAAAGTGTACCTGAATCGGACGAGTCCTGAGCGTGTTCGAAAATAAACAACGATTACTGAGATACAGATAATGTAGTTTATTAAGTTTATATAGCCAAAAAATACTGAAATTATATATCAGGAAGTATCTAGATGTGTAGCTAGTTTTTTTTTTTTTTTAAAATCTTAAGATTCTTGACATCAGGAAATGCTAAAAGAAGACTTGGCAGATGAAGACGATTAACAGTCAAGAACAGCAAGTAAACCAGGATGTTAGTGTCATGAACGACCCACAAACACGTAGGTCGCTTGGCTGGCAATTCCCATGGTCTGACCCAGTATGGTAATAGGAATTGATAATTTTTTCTTACCCTATATACTTGGCCTAATAATGTACCTTCACGTCCGAAGGAACTCATTCTACTGTTGTTGTTATTATTATTATTATTATTATTATTATTATACTTTTCAGTCAGTTGTATGTCCAACATAATGGAGAATAGCACCTGTGGTGTGTGCAGTCTTACATATGACACGGAGCAACATGTTCCCTTGGTAATGAAGTGTGGTCACGACTACTGTAAGACAGTGCCTGCAGAAGTTGGTGAAGAAGGAGAGCTTGACGTGCCCTTTTCCCGCCTGTAGGGCTCGCTACGAGAAACTCAATATGAGTGAACTCACGAAGGTCCTCGGGTTGATCCCTAAAACGAAGATACCGGTACCTCGAATTGTCTCACCTACCACTGACACTTCAATTCAGGTATATAATAATAATTTCTCTATTAACTATAATAATAATAATAATTATTATTATTATTGTAGTTGTTGTTATATTCAAGGGAAAGCACTGAACTTAGTTCATACAGTACCTGTGAATGGGAGGCAATCAGGTTTGATCCTATCAAGAGCACCTCCCTTCAAGGAAAAAGGGACATTCAAATATAGCCATTTTTCTTTCAGTGTTAATGATGAATTTGCGATTTTATAAACGGCAGCCTTCGAGGAAGAGGCATTGATGCTGGTAAAGGGATCTCGATCCTTGAAATTGGAGTTACCCCTCTCCTTCCTCGAATCAAATTTCATTGTAGCTCCTCTGTTTATCTGCTTTGCTTCCTCCACAGGTGAAAATCAATGACCTTGACGGTATCACAGTTGGTATTAAAACGTCTCCGGAGGAAACGCTTTCAGACTTAAAGAAAAGACTAGAGGCCAAATATGGTAGCATTCCTGCAAGCACGAGAATCCTCTTCCGGGGAACACTAGTGAAGGATGATTCTACCATGGCGCAGATCGGCATGAAAGAAGGATACACTCTCACTGTGTCCACATCCTACCTGGGAGGCGTAGAAAAACTACATTTCACTCGACCCAGAGCGAAATGTACTCTAATAACAGGAATGACTCCAGACGTTTTATATTAGTAGGGCTTAGTGGTGGCAATCTGGTAGGTAAATTACTCAATAAAATAATATATAATGAAGTCATTAATTCAAATGACATGATAGTTTTAAAGATCATTATTCCAGTTTATATACATTGCAGTGTGTGCATTTATTAGTGTTCAAGAGATCGGGCAGACACCACTCCCACGAACCCTTCTAGGGAGGGGACGGTGCCAGAGCCAGAGCTGACTACCACCTGCAGCTCACAAGACTGCCATTCCCACGAGCCCCCTGGGGCGGGGAAGATGGTTGACCAGAGGCCTAGCTTCTCCCTACGAGCCCCGTGAGGGCGGGGAATGGAGCTATGCCTGGGGACAGTTGGTCCCGGAAGACGAGGAGGTACTTGTACCTCCTCCCATGGGAGACATAGGTCTCAAGACACTCCCAAGACAGGGAGCCAAGACCGGGTTACCGTCTGGAAAAGACCCGGACCGGGACAGTACCGGCGAATCACAAACAAATTATTAGTGCATAAATCACTGTGTATATATCAATATATAAACAACATGAGTGTACAACTTAATGTACGAAAAAAATCATATAACACGTGATTACAAATGTTTCTAAAAATACCATAGTGAAAATATGAAATAAAACCTGAGCGTTTTCAAGTGCTTATACACATGGCTGTCTGAAGACGTGTGTGTAAGCACATGGCATTTTTACATCTTAATTTGTATATTCTGAGAGATGTGTATATAACAGTTTGTACTACTTACACCAAGAGATGTTTATATCTAAATATAATTATTATTATTCCATTAATACACTGAAAGATGCAAATATCTTAGTGTATATTAACCATGAGAAGTGTACATAGTAGGGAGAAATAAGTCTGACCAGTCTCCGAAAGAGTGGTGTCCTGATGTTAATGCTAAGTCGGGTCTTCCTGGTCCTCCCTGGTCGCCACTATCACCAGCTGTTATATTTAGTTACCTGCTTTCCTCCCTATTCTCTCTCTTTTAAGTCGTGTCGTTATTGTTTTTTCTCTCCTTAATAATAAATTATGTCATCTTTCATATGTCCATTCCTCTATACCCCACAATGGAAATAAGTCACTTCGATTTTTTGGGGGTCATCCTAGGTAATTTACACACAAGTTATTATTTATGATAATTTGTGTAACTGTATTTATTTGTACCTGTACCTAATTAAACTTATTTTTTATGTCTTTGTTTCAATTCTTATCTTTATCCCTTCACATTGTGACGACATATAATATGATGAATGACGAAGAATTGAGAGGACCGACTCATTGCCTGCAATGGTGTACAGCCTTCGTAAGGGTGAAGGGTGCTCTGGTTGCTGAGGCATTATGATAAATGGAAGAACAGTTATGTTTTAGACCTCTAGGGGAGGTTTAATGGTTGGGGGGTTTTTAATTTATTTAATTTTGGGGGGGGTTGTAGGAAAATTGGGTTTTGGGGAAGGGGGTTTGGGGGGTGTTGGAATTAAAAAAAAAAGGGGGGGTTTAATTTTAAGGGTTTTTGGTTCCCCGGCCCCCCTTTTAACCCTTTTTTAAATTTTATTTGTTTCCTATTTTTTTTTTAAATCTTCATTTTTTTCTTTTAAAATAAAATTATGTCTAATATGTCCATCATTAAACCCATAAAAATATTTATTTTTTGTCTAAATTATCAAAAGGTATTTTAATAATTTTAAGATATTTAGTCCTATAAACTTTTGTTTTTAACTTTCTGTACCCTCTTTTACATCATAATTTTATATTCCGAAAATGTGTAATAACCGTCTTTACTATTACCACAAGGGTTTTTAGATATCTAATTATATATTCATTAATACAGAAAGAGGTAATGTTTAGGTATAAGATGAAGTGTAAGGGGGGGAAAAGGAGCCTAATTATTGGTTCCTATGTAATTGTTTTCCTGTCTCCTTGGTCGACACTGGTTTTTGGTACCTTTTCCCCGAATTCTTTTTAGGTTCGTTATTGTGGTAGTCTTTTAAATAAATGAGGTTGTTCGGGTTTTTCCCCATGGAAAGTCACTTCGATTTTGTGGGGGGTATTAAAGTGATTTGGAGGATTGTTTTGGGTATTTGATGTCCCTTGGAGCTTTGTGGTTTTGGTTATTTTAGTTTTACCTTACAATTGTCTCTATAATAAATTAAGAATATTTGAGAGACTATTTGCCGCAAGGTTACATCCTCAATAGCTGAAGATGCCTTGGTATGTCGTGGCATTGAAAATGGGAAGAAGTATTGTTTTAACCTCTAGAGCAGTTATAATAATGTTCCAGATGAAGAAAATTTACAGTTATCGTTTACATAAGCTCAGCGGTTGAGTGTTTTGTGTGGGGCTGTGAAAGGAGAGTTATAAGTATTAATATAAATCCAGATTTGTTGCCATTTCTGTAACTCATTCCTCACGAACACCGGTGTCATGAAACTGTCGTAGGCTTCCTATACGCAGCAGCAGGTTTTAGGCTATGCAGCACTCCAATTTTTTTTTTATTTGGTACCTCATATCCGTCATAGACAAGGAGGCCAGGAGACCAGGAGGCCTGGTCACAGACCGGGCCGCGGGGGCGTTGACCCCCGGAACTCTCTCCAGGTAAACTCCAGGTAAACGACGCTCCCTGAAAGGCATTTTGCATCGAGTGACACATCATTTTAAAACTTTTTTTTAATAATGATTTCAAAATCATATACATTTCTAACCAATCTTGATCAGTTTTAAAACGAAAATTTATGTGGATGTGAGATCCCCCACGTCCACTTCCTGACAACTGTTATTGTTGTTCTTGATGGGCCGGTACTCTCCCGGCCCGTGTCTTTTCCAGATGGTGACCCGGTCTTGGCTCCCTGTCTTGGGAGTGTCTTGAAACCTATGTCTCCCATGGGAGGAGGAGGTACAAGTACCTCCTCAGTTTCGGGACCAACTGTTCCCAGGCCTAGCCCCATTCCCCGCCCTCACGGGGCTCGTAGGGAGAAGCTAGGCCTCTGTTTGCCATCTGCCCCACCCCAGGGGGGCTCGTGGGAGTGGAAGTCTTGTGAGCTGCATGTGGTAGCAAGCTCTGGCTCTGGCACCATCCCTGCCCTAGGAGGGCTCGTGAGAGTGGTGTCTTGGATCCTTCTTTCCTGACAAGATGGTTGTGGGGAACAAGGTTTTCGAAACCTTAGACAGTACTAAAATAAAAACTAAATTATTTGACTTTTTTACAATTCTAACATTTCTTGCGAGAAACGAAAAATATCTGGTCAGCACCGGGTTATTCTGAGTTATTATATGTGGATACACATGATGGAGTAAAAAGAGGTATGAGAATATTTATCGTAAGTATATGCCAAGATGATTGCTGACCTACCAGGGTGGTGTTACTTAGGGAGGCCTGGTCGTGGACCGGGTTGCGGGGACGTTGATCCCCGTAATACCCTCCAGGTACATACCCTCCAGGTAGCCAGGTTTGGTGTATTCATGAGCAGGGCTGAAAAAATCTTGATAACCAGACCTGATTTAGTCCTGACCATGCCTGGTACGGCTTTGGCCAGATCTGGTGTGGTTTTCATTAGAACTGGTGTGGTCTTCACTAGAACTGGTGTGGTCTTCACTAGAACTGGTGTGATCCTCACTAGAACTGGTGTGATCCTCACTAGAACTGGTGTGATCCTCACTAGAACTGGTGTGATCCTCACTAGAACTGGCGTGATCCTCACTAGAACTGGTGTGGGCTTCACTAGAACGGTTGTGGACTTTACAACATCTGCTATAGTAGTGACAAGCAGGTCTGGTGTGGTCTTGACGACCTTTATCGGACAACATGTCGGCCATGATACTAGTAGGTAATGAGTCAGTGTTTCCAGCGCTGAGTAAAATTTAGCTGTGGTAAGCCAGCAGATGCTTAATCAGAAATGTGTCAACTGACACATAACTAACAAATAAAACAGTGTCACCAGCTAGATCTCAAGTAGAGGGAAATACCTATGCAATTACTTTGATAAGGTGGCCCCACACAGGCACAACACACAATCGCACAAAAAAGTAACAGATAACGATTGATAATAGAACAGCAGTGGTGAGCAAAGAAAGTCAACCTTGTATCCTCAACATGTGAGGGTCGTCTCTGCTTCAGTGAGTAATTCCTGATTGTTAAAATTTGAGTGTTTACAATGCTTAGTGTGGTGGATTTTTACGAGAACAATCTCGTATTAACCTTCTACCCACAATCTGGGGAGAACTCTTGACACAAAAACAAATTGTAATATACTGGTGTATCCTGGAGACTTGTGTGACTTCAGGAACACTGAGGTCGCAATACCAACCATCTCAGCTCCCCAACTAGCTCCTGGACCCTAGATTAGGAATATATGGTTCCTGTATATGCATTTATGAAAATTTACGCTAGTAAAAGTGACTAAGTGGACTGTATAATTATAAGGAATTTAAGTGGACTTGACTCATTTAACTATTTTATGTTAAAAATATTCTAACGCCTCCTCTAGCAAGATTACAAGAAAACTGGCCAAATCAAGTAACCTGACCTGTGGTGTGGATTATAATAAACTGAGAGGCGAGACTAAATTATTGATAATACAGCGTAATTCAATTTCCGCATTGCATTTTCTCTCGTCCAATCACTAAATTCTTCCTTTTCCTCACCTAGCTGGACATTTACAGACATCTGGCCTCGTTACTTACATTGCAACGTTTAACTGTCCTCTAATATTACTTACGGACACTTTTTTTTACGAGAAACATTCGCCAACGCACTTGTTGTTCTCCTTCCCGTACCGCCATCTTTGTTTCTCCTCTCCTATCTCGTACACATATATTTACTCAAATTTAGTGTTATTTCTGGGGATGTGTAACACATTTTCCTTATCAGAATATTAATTCCTTTAATATTACAATAATTCCACTTTACTTATTACATTATATAAGGAAATTATAGGAAACATTTTAGTTTCCCTGTGGCATATCACCTTTCAAGTTAAAATAAAATTATTAAATAAACATTATTATCTCTATCAGTTGTTACATATAAATCATAGGAAATTTTCAACATCTTAGGATACCCATACATGGGTATCCCAAGATGCTGATACCCTCACACGGGTATCCCAAGATGTTGATATCCTCACACGGGTATCCCAAGATACTGATATCCTCACACGGGTATCCCAAGATGCTGATATCCTCACACGGGTATCCCAAGATGCTGATATCCTCACACGGGTATCCCAAGATGTTGATATCCTCACACGGGTATCCCAAGATGCTGATACCCCTCACACGGGTATCCCAAGATGCTGATATCCTCACACGGGTATCCCAAGATGCTGATATCCTCACACGGGTATCCCAAGGTGCTGATATCCTCACACGGGTATCCCAAGATGTTGATATCCTCACACGGGTATCCCAAGATGCTGATATCCTCACACGGGTATCCCAAAATGAAGTTACCCTCAAAGTATCCAAGATATAACGAATTAATGTGATTTTGTTGCAACTTTGCAAATTGTGGAAAATTGCATTTATCTGAATGTATCATTATATACATAACAGTAAATGAAAAGATAATTATTATTTATCAGTTAGACAAGTAGGAATTTGGGACACCTAGGTCGCAAAAAATGTCCCCCTTCGATACCTAGCACTGTCATATCCACAAGTTGCTCTGGACCTATTAATTACCAATGAAATATGTATAACCAGGAATATTGGTAAATATTTAAATTTTGTGGACTGTATATTAAAATTAAAAAATAATTATAGATATACACAATTACATAACAGAAAGAGAATATCTTAATATCACTCACCAATTTGACTGGAGATTATGGTGTATCATACTCAGAAAACCTCACTGTCTAAATTTATGAAAATACTGGCCAGAATTAAACATAAACAGACTTATCTGAGGTTCCTGGAGCTGTCTTGTCCAGTCGCCTGATACTCAAATTATGCAGGAATGCACATGCAACAATTTCGTCTCCTATTTAAGAGGTGTCAGCCCAATTTTAACCTCTAGAGCACGAAAAATTCTTCCCATTACACCAACGTTCTAATACAAATTCAAAACCAAGATGGCGAGTGTCTCTTCTTTTTTTCGATAACATACTTCTTTTAAAAATACAATATAGGGCATCTATTTACCTATAAATTACCGTATTTCCGGAAAATATATACAGTATTTTCCACACAAATAACAATATTAGATTTTTTTTGTATTTGTCGTATACAATAAATTATTATTACAAAATACATAACTATCTTCATCCTGTACAGCAAGACACAAAAGAATTAAGAAACATAATTAAAGTATACATGTAATAAGAATTTGCATGAAACATAACCTTAATTTTTGAAGGGGTGGAGGGGTAAGCCAGTGGAAGGCCTCGGTCAGATGACCAAAAGTTCCAGCTGCGGGTCATATGACTAAGACCCGCGTCAGGAAACACTTGTCCTGTTTCCTGACGAATATTACCTAACCTATATGATGATGCAGATAAGGACTGAGTGGCGTGCAGAGTTCTGGTGATGCCGGGGGCCAATTCCTTGATTGTATGCCCCCTCCCCATTTGGATTCCCGGGGCCTCTGCCCTCCCGTCTGCACGCCACTGCTAGGACTATAATTTACTAGTGGCTAATAGCTTTATTTGTATTCACAGGAGCGAGGAGAGAGCAGATATCATTGCCACAGGACCTTCCCTGCATTACTGACTTCCATACACACTTGCACTAGACATACAAAGTACCAAACATATCGTGGAACGTACAAGCCAATTGGTCCTACCTTGACTGCCGAAAATTGGAATTTAAGTCACAACAGCCTAGTTTACTTTCCAGGGCTTGAAATGGAGAACTACCAGACGACAGTGGGAAGAGAGGACCAATCATCAAGCTCTGGAGGTAAGGTTATTGTATATAGGCTTGGTTAAGCTTTGTTAATGGGGTTTAAAGCCTATCGTACTAAACAAAAGGTCACTAATAATGTCTCATGCCACCTGTTCACCATCTGCCAAGGATATTTTGATTACTAAAATAGAGATTAAAATAAACTCTCATATATATTAAGCTACATACCCCCTCACAGAGTATATATAACCTTGTATGTAGTCTCTCAAGTGTATATATATATATATATATATATATATATATATATATATATATATATATATATATATATATATATATATATATATATATATATATATATATATATATATACTTATCTTTAGTTGTAGTACATTAGCATGACTTTATACCAGCGAAGTCTCAAGCACTGGTGACAGCAGCAGTACCCACCAAGCATGGCATTAATATCAAGTGTATTAATGCTCTGTGATGAAGTCACAGAGTGAAGTGTGGACTGGATAATGCAAGTAAGACAGTGAAAGGAATTAATTTTATTCGTGAAAATAAATAAATGGTTACATAGATCAATTTAAATTGACCCATCTCATTTGTTTTGTATTACTGTTGGTTGTCCTAACGCCAGCATACACTAGTATTGCCGGACTGACTAGCACTGACATTACAAGACAGATCTACCGAATCGAACTCACTTAGATGATTTAAGTCCATGAACACACCTCACATGCTTGAAGGACACTGAACAGGAAGGGGGAGTAGTGTTTTGTCCACCAGGAAAAACACAGTGTCTCATAACAAGGATCGTAAGCATCAGATGACCCATTCAGTAGTGAAGGATGCGCTGGCCTACCCCAGCTAGGCTCCATACTATATTATAAAAATAACTGAATACTGCATTATAGTGAAGCTTAGGATGGTGAATCTCTTAAGAGTATGCTAAAGAATGTCCGAGTTGAACTGCTGTGGCTGCTTGTCTGAAGGTTTACCTGAATAGGAGGAGTGTGTATGAATGTACTCTTCTTTTGTGGAGGGTGGGGAGATAACCTTCTACTGTGTTTCCTTGACTCATACAGCTAGATAGTACACCGACAGATAAAAATCGAGACAGTAGACAGTTCTCGGTAGATAACAGAGCACTTGGAAGTCCACTGCCAAGTATTCTGTCAGTCCTACGTACTCCCATTATTATTAGATATTCTTTTCAGTTAGTTCTATGTCCGATAGAAGCAACAAAAACACATGTGGGGTGTGCTGTCAGAAGTATGCGCCAGGAAAGCATGATCCCCTTCTGCTTCCCTGCGGTCACGACTTCTGTAGGATGTGCCTGGAGAAGCTCGAGACGGCGGAGGGCTTACTGTGCCCTTCTCCCACCTGCGGGAATCACCACTGTACACTCAAAGTGATCAACCTCGCTATCATCTACGACATACTCCGCGACACACATTCTACACCTCAGACACTCTACACTCGCTCTCAGGTTAGCCAAACTACAACTCTGTTTTCATATATAATTTTAAATAAAATATAAAAAACTTTACTTTGTATTTATTATATAATTTTATTATTATTATTATTATTATTATTATTATTATTATTATTATTATTGTTGTTGTTGTTGTTGTAATTTTTATTTTAATATAAGTTATATTATAATTTATATTTCATTCAAGAGGGTCATTGCACCCATAGGAGTAACATAGTGCCTGGGGAATGGGCGTTAATTAGGTTTGATCCGAGGAAGAGAAAAGCAGCTTCGATTCCTTGTGTCAAGAGTACCTCCCTAGAAGGAACGTTGGACCTACAAACACAACCTTTTTTTTCCTACCTGCGTTAATTATGATTTTGTGATCTTATGAATAGCACCCTTCAAGTGAATGTTGAATAATAATAATAATACATGTAATAATAATAATGTTGCGTCAGAGGCAGAATCAGTAAGGTTGGTGAGGCGCCGGAGATCTCGTGATTTCAGAAATTTAGACACTTCAGTTACTCCTCTCCTTTTACTGTGATCTGCGTCCTCCTTCCGCAGGAACTGCAGGTGAAGATTATTGACATGATGGGCCACATGGGCTCCATTAAGATCTCTCTGGGGGAAACAATCGGCGACGTGAAGAAGAGACTCGAGGCCAGGTACGGCAGTAACCCTGTAGAGACGAGCATCATCTTCAAGGGCATCACAAGGCATGACCAATGTACCATACAGGAGCTAGGCCTTACAACTGGAAGCACCCTCCAGGTGACCTCCATCTTCTTGGGTGGAGGAGAGCTATATTTCGCTTTACCCAGAGCTAAATGTACTCTGTAATAAAGGTTTTGGCCTATATATCTACCATGCTTATCGGTAATTTCCTGCCATTCTACATGGGACACGACTCTACAAGTATCGACAACCAGGAAGAGGACTGGGATTCGAGATGTGTAAACAAGCAGAGTGGCAGGATTGTAGGCAAAGTCACAACTGACTCCTTCATTCCCGAAGGATCGAAGACGCTACTCGTGACGAAAGGACCGTGTTTTTTTTTTTTTACCTACACCTTACTGGCAACACCATACCAGCTCCGGAGTGGCATGATTATTAAAGAGTATTGTATACAAAATAATGCAAGCGAAAAGTCAGTTGAAAAATGCTTGCTAGCACCACTATGTATAAGAAGTAGTGTAAGCGAATGCAACTCTGCAAGTTAAAAAAAAATCAATAACAAGTTGCTTTAGTTATAATTCTCACATTATCTGGATTTGGTATACGACTGGTAAATTCAGAATGGATTCTGACAGCTGAATGAGGTATTAAATATTAGATACGCAGGAAATAACTTCCAAAATTTTAAGTTTACTTAAATGCTGGTTATTTGTGTACTGATCCAGCCAAGTATTGTGATTCTTTATTCTTTGAATCCAGATGAATTTAAAATGATAGCTAAAACATATAATATGGTGGAATATTTCACCCACCTGTAGCCCTTCCCCTGGGGATGAGAGGAGGTGGATAAAAAAAATCCACCCAAATAATACCGGGTTTTTGAGAATTCTGAGAGCTTATTATTAAAACACGAAATCTGGATAAAAGAAATATGTACTGGCTGTTACTCTGAAATAGTTACAGTTTACCCTTTTTAGGAGTTTGGTTTTCTTTTTATATTTTCGAAAGATGTAAATTAGTGGGATTAAATAATGTGTTAAAGGGAAAAAGGAATAAAAAAGGAGATAAATAAGGTTAAAAAATAAACCAAGACAGAGCTCGCAGCAAGGGATTAAGTTGGAGAAAGTTGTTTTTAAAATGATTTTGGAAGTATTGGTTTGGCGTAGGTTCGGGTTTCAGGAAATTTGCCGGGGACGATCCTGTGTTGGAAATTAAGTTGTGACGATTCCCAAACCCCAGGTAGGTAAAAAAAGCAAAAACTTTGGGTAGTTAATCAGGGTGAATGGGTGGTAAGTGAGGAGGGGAGGGTTTGACCTAGATTTCCAGTTACTGCCACGTTCTTATCTTTATTCACTCCGAAATTTTGTTTGGGAGAAAAGTCAGATTCATGAAAAAATATATCCTTTAATCACCTTATAAGGTTTGATTTTGAAAAAATTCTCACGTTTTGTTAAATTTAGTAATTTTATTTTTATTTATGAGGGGTTCCAAACATGATCAAGGAAAAATTTTTTACGAAAGTTTGAGTTCGCTATAATATATTAATATATATATATATTTTATATATATATATATATATTATTTTATTTATATAAAATTATATATATATATAATATTATAATATTATTTTTATCACACGGGCCATTCCCCCCAAAGGCGGGGCCCCAAAAAAGAAAAATTTTTCACCTCTTTCACTCCATCACTGTCTTGCCGAAGGGTGCTTTACCTACATTTTTTTAATGCAACATTAACCCCCCCTTTCAGAGAACGGGGCCGTATTTCCCCCAACCGGACTCAAGCCCGGGCCCCTCCCGGGTTTCCCCTGAACCCTTTTTAAAATGTATTTTGCTCACACTCCAAAGCCGCAAGTAAAAAAAAACATTTGTTCCATTATCCTATCAAACAGCTCAGCTCCGCGGAAGTCCAACCCCCTCGACACAAAACCTTTTTTTCCCCCTCTCTCCAACCTTTCCTAGGCTGACCCCACCCCGCCTTCCTTCCACTACGACTGTACGTTTTAAGTCATTCTGTTTCGCTCCTTCTCTCACATTCCAACCACCCAAAAAACCCTTTCCCTCAGCCCCCTTTTGGGCAACGTTTTTTTAAACCCCCACCCCTTAACTTTTCCAAAATACGAATTCCGCATTTATTCACACCACACATTGCCCTCAGACAGCATCTCCACTGCCCCCGCCTTCCCTCGCTGCAAAATTCACCCCAGCTTTCCCCCATATAAGAGCGTTGGGAAACTATACTCCTTTTTTTCCCCCCTTTTTCCTCCAAAGGCAAAGTTCTTTGTCTCCACAGACTCCAAGTGCACCACTACTTCTTTTTCCCTCACAAATTTATGATTCACCTATTTTATAGACCCCTCCGCTGCACGTCCCTCCCAAATTTCTGAAACATTCACCTCCCCCCTACTCTCTCCCCCCAAACTGATATTCAATCTTTCACACCTAATCTTTTTGTTATCCTCATAAACCTTTTTCTCTTTTGTATTTACCTTTAATTTTTTCCTTTTGCACCCCTACCCAAAACATCCCAATCTCGCAATTCTCTTCAAATCTCCCCCAAAAAAAAACACAGTGTCACCAAAGAGCAGCTGTGACAACCCACTTTGTGTGTTTGATTCTTTATCTTTTAATCCAGCCCCTTTCAAAAACCCTCGCCTTTCTTTCTTACAACCCCCTCATAAATATTTATTAAACAAACCCCGGGGCACACATCCTTGTTAAGGCCCACTTTTTTTTTTTCTGGGAAATAATTTCCCCCTTTCCTACATACTCTAAATTTAGCCCACATCCCCGTAAAAAATTTTATCTTTCAGTAACCCCACTCCCACACCCTACACTTGCAACATCTGCCACTTGCCCCCCAACCACCCTGTCCTACCCTTTCCAAATCCTAAATGCCACAAAGACCCCTTTAGCCTTATCTAAATACTGTTCACTTTTGTTTTACTGTAAAAACCTGATCCCAACCCCCTACCTTTCCTAAGCCCCCTTTTTCATCCTACCTATTCTCCGCTTTCTTTAATTCTTTCCAATAAAACTTACCAAACACTTTCCAGGTATACCAGCGACTTATCCCCCCAAATTTTTTTCATCTCTTTTTTCCCCCCTTTTCCTTTATTTCAAAGGAACTAGCATGCTCTCGCAATCCCCAGGTACCTTACCCCCTTCCTACATTTTTTTAAAAAAATTGCACCAACCACTCCAAAAATATTCCCCCCCTGTTTTAACTTTTCTATCTTTATCCCATCAATCCCCGGGTGCCCTTTCCCCCTTTTATTTTACCTCTGCCCACGAATTCCCCCAACTCAAACTGGCTTTCCCCACTCCTACAAGATGTTATTCCTCCTTACCCCTTCAGAAACACAGCTTCCCCTTCTTCATCAACTTTTAACAATTCCTCAAAAAATTTCCCTCCATCTCCCCCTACCTTAACTCTCCCTTTAATAACTCCCCCCTCCTATTTTTTAAATAAAAACCATTTGTTTCCCAGGGGTTTCTTAACTTGTAATCTCCCCCCAAAAAATTTTTTTTTTTTCAACAAAATTTGTTGTTTAAAATCTCACCCACTCTCTCTTTGCTTCTTTTTTCAATTGTTCACCACTCTTTACCCCTTCCTTTTTCTCCATAACTTTCCCTCCTTGCATCATTCTACTTTTTTAAAAAATTCATTGCTAATTTTCTCCCTTTCTTCCTTTACATTTATTCCCCCAATCCTCTTTCCTCCCGCACCACTTTTCCCGTAACCCCAAACTTTGCTGAACACTCAAAAACTACATTTTTAAACCACCCCAACCCCTTGACCCCATTGCCTATGCTTCATTCCCATTTTTATCCTCCCAAAAGTGTTTATACTTCCCTAACTGCCTCCTCTTTTATTTTTAAACCTTACCTCTCTCTTCCCTGATCTTTTATTTTTTCTTTTATCCCATCTACCTTTTCTCTCAGTGTGCTACAACTAGAAAGTGATTGATATATCTGTGGCCCCTCTAAAACATGTTCTCCCGAAGTTAAACCCAAAAGTTTTTATCTCCTAATAATCCAACAAACTACTGTCTTTCGCCCTACATCTATCTTGTTACTTATTTTCCTTTTTTCTTAAAATAGTATTACCCTTTAATAAACCCCCTTTTTATACAAAGTTCAAACAAAGGGGTCCCATTATATTTTCACCCGGCCCCCCAAACTTACCCCCCAAAACCCCCTCTAAAAGTTTCTCCTACTTTAGCATTCAGGCCCCCTACCACAATTACTCTCTCACTTGATTCAAAGGCTTCCTATACATTCACTTAACATCTCCCAAAATCTCTCCCCTCTCCTCTGCATTCCTCTTTTTCTCCAGGTGCATACACGCTTTATTATGCCCCACTTCTCGCATCCAACCTTTACTTTAATCCACATAATTCTTGAATTTACACATTCAATTCTCTTTTCCCTTCCATAACTGATCATTTAACATTACTGCTACCCCTTCCTTTGCTCTAACTCTCTCGATACTCCAGATTTAACCCCATTTATTTTCCCCACTAAAACTCTCCTACCCCCTTCAGCTTTGTTTTCGCTTAGGGCCAGGACATCCAACTTCTTTTTCATTCATAACATCAGCAATCATCTGTTTCTTGTCATCCGCACTACATCCACGCACATTTAAGCATCCCAGTTTTATAAGTTTTTCTTCTTCTCTTTTTTAGTAAGTGTCTACAGGAGAAGGGGTTACTAGCCCATTGCTCCGGCATTTTAGTCGCCTCATACGACACGCTGGCTTACGGAGGAAAAGATTCTTTTCCACTTCCCATGGACAATAGAAGAAATAAAGAAGAACAAAGAGCTATTTAAAAAAAAAGGAGGAAAAACCTAGATGTATGTAATATATATATATATATATAGCATGTGCGTGTCTGTGAAGTGTGACCAAAGTGTAAGTAGGAGTAGCAAGATATCCCTGTTATCTAGCGTGTTTATGAGACAGAAAAAGAAACCAGCAATCCTACCATCATGCAAAACAGTTACAGGTTTCTGTTTCACAGTCATCTGGCAGGACGGTAGTACTTCCCTGGGTGGTTGCTGTCTACCAACATTTTATATATATATTTTATATATATAAAATATATATATATATATATATATAATATAAACACTGATCTCTGGCTGAAGGAGACTCGAACCTACGAACCTTAGGACAAGGTACGCAGTGCTTTACCAATCTACCCACCCCGGACCAAAACCTTGGCGTGTAGCATTCGCTACACGTTTTGATCCAAAGGGAGCCAGCTTTCAGGGGAAGGCTTACAGCTTTTCATCTCATCCCCTGCATGCATCAGCCTTTCTAGAGATTTGAACAATGCAAGGAATTCGCGAGAGCATGCGAAATATACACAAACACTGATCTCTGGCGAAGGAGACTCGAACCTACGAACCTTAGGACAAAGGGACGCAGTGCTTTTCCAATCTACCCACACTGGACCAATACCTTGGCGTGTAGCATGCGCTACACGTTTTGATCCCCAAAGGGAGCCAGCTTTCAGGGAGAAGGCTTACAGTTTTCATCTCATCCCCTGCATGCATCAGCCTTACTAGAGATTTGAAAAATGCAAGGAATTCGCGAGAGCATGCGGAAAATATACACAAACACTGATCTCTGGCTGAAGGAGACTCGAACCTACGAACCTTAGGGGCAAGGTAGCAGTGCTTTACAATCTACCCACACTGGACCAAAACCTTGGCGTGTAGCATGCGCTACACGTTTTGATCCAAGGCAGCCAGCTTTCAGGGAGAAGGCTTAAGCTTTTAAATCTCATCCCCTGCTTGCATCAGCCTACTAGA